GCAGGAGGAGGAGGGAGGAGGAGGAGGATGAGGAGGAGGAGGAGGGAGGAGCGAGGAGGGAGGAGGGAGGAGGGAGGAGGGAGGAGAGAGGAGGGAGGAGGGATGATGGAGAAGGGAGGAGGAATGAGAGAAGGAGGAGGAGGAGAAGGAGAAGGAGGAGGAGGAGGAGGAGGAGGAGGAGGAGGAGCTGCAGGGGCGGTGTCTCTGTCCGGGCGACGTGCAGAGAGGGCCGCTGGAGGTCCTCATTCGGTTCCTCGGTGGTCCTCTCGACGCCTCCTCTCAGGCCTCCTCGGAGGCCCCCAGGCGCCAAGAAGTGACCACAGACATGTAGAAATTCCGATCCATGGTCTTCGAATCCGCGACGCTTCACCCCGTCTTCGTGCCCTCGACCTCGAGGCCTCGATCCTCGAGGATCGACCGTGGTTTCTCGACTCGACCTCGAGTCCTCGATCCGTTCTCGAATCGTGTCTGGTACCTCGAACCATGGACTCGAGGATCGAGTACCAGCAAGAGTCGACCTCTTTCTCCTCCCTCCTGGCAGTGGGCAAGAATGAACCCTGTTGTGTTCGAGCGGGTGTTCTGCGCGGCCTCCCGCAGCCCCTGGGGGTTCGGCTTTCTTGTTCTTGCACGCCCGTACTGCCGAATACCCTGGACCAACCTTGAATCTGAGGGGAATCGGGGGGCTGCGGAGTCCAAGGCATCACTATTTTGTCCATCTACGGCCCCTCCGCTTCTCGCCCTCCTCACCCTCCGTTGCTAAAGCTCGGCGGCGAGCGAGGGGGGGAAATGAGCAGGAGCAGTCCTTCTCAGAAGGCGGCGGGACTTCCCAGAAGCCCTGGCGCCCTCCGAAACGATGTTGCTCGCCTTCGGGGAAGGCTTGGTTGAGCAGGCCCGCCCCTTCTCACTTCCACCCCTCGCTCGCCGCCGGACAGCAATGCGCTTCCCCCTCTCCCCACCAGCAGTGGCCAGCAGTACTCCAGATTTCGTAATAAAGGGAGGGGGGTCTCATTTCGGGGGGGGTCTCTTCCAGGCTATCTTGGAGGGCCTGGGGGGGTCTGGGGACGATGTTTTGGAGGGTTCTCCCACGGGGGAGGTCTGAAATGGCTTGTCTTGGAGGGTCCAGACCCCCTCCCTTTTATTACGAAATCTGGAGTACCTGGCACAGCCGGCGCGGTGCAGGCCACCCCGGCCGCCCCGAGGCAGCGGCGGCCCCGCCGCGGGTCCGGGCGACGCCGCCTAATAGGCCAAGGGAGGAGCGCCCAGCGCCCCTCTCGGGTTAAGCGTCCCCCGTGCCTGCTTCTCCTCCTCCTCCGAACTACTCCTAACCATACTCCTTCAACTCGTGCGTCTTTTTCTTTTTCTTCTCATCCTCCTCCTTCCTTCTCCTCCTCCTCCTCCACCCTTTTTCCCTATAACTAGCTCCTCCCTGTCGCACCCCAAGTCGTGTCGGTAGGGCGGGCCGGGCATTTCGCCGGAGACTGCCTCACATATTCTGCTTTTGAAGCCTGAGGGTTGCAAGAGTGTCACGGATGGAGGGCGGCTGGTTTTCAAAATGTGGTTCTCGCCTTAGCGCCGCGTGCATTCATCTTACATGTTTGCAGCAGCAGTTTTCAGGATGTAGGACAGGTGGCTTTCAACATGCGGCTCTTGCCTGCGCGCCGCGTGCACTCGTCTCAAACGTATCCAACAGCTTCAGGGATGGAGGACCGGTGGGTTTCCAATTGTGGCTCTCGCCTAAGCGCCGCGTGCATTCGTCTTGCATGTTTGCAGCAGCTTCGAGGATGGAGGGCAGGCGGTTTTCAAACTCTGGCGCTTGCCTCAGCGCCGCGCACGTTTGTCTCTAAGTGTTCGCAGCTGCTTCACAGACGGAGGTCGGCTCGTTTTCAAAATGTGGTGTTTGCATTCTTTCCCAGCGCGGAACCGTATTAAGAGCGTACAGTCGCTTCAATAGTATTTATGGCTGAAGTCCCAGGAGTGGTCTTCTGGCGCGATTGAGGACTGCTAGGGCGTGAAAGTCAAGTTGATTCGCGGTGTTGAAGTCTCAGAAACTGTCTTCTGGCACGATTGAGGGTTGTCAGGACGCAAGAGTCAAGTTGATTCGCGGCGCTGAAGTCCCAGGAATGGTGTTCTGGGACGGTGGAGGGCTCTCAGGACGCAACCGTCACGTTAATTCGCGGCGCCGAAGTCCCAGGAAAGGTATTTGAGCACGATTGGGGATTCTCAAATGAGTGTCTTCAATGGACCTTGTCAATGGGATCAGCCCCCGCAGTGAGCATACATTCTTGCAGGGACCTATGAAGAGGGAACTTGGAGAAAAGGCTTATCGCAAGAGCGTTGCTGCGTCTTGGATTGAAACCCGTATTGCTGCTCCTCCTCTTCTTACTCATCCTCCCTCCCTCCTCCCTCCTCTCTCTTTCCTCCTCCTTCCGCCCTCGCCCTCCTCCTTCCTCCTACTCCTCTTCCCTCCTCCTCCTCCTCCTCCTCCTCCTCCTCAAGCGAAACTCTCCGCGAGCAAAGTATTGAATCATCACCTGTTTCTCCCAGGGATGCTGGACGGCCGATCGTCTTGCTGAGTCTGGATATGTTTCTTATGGCAAGTGCCCGTTATGTGGGCGACCTGATTCAGTTTTCCACCCTCAGCGGGTCTGCGTGGGCCCAACGGTGGCGCAGTTGCGCTTGGAAATGGTTTCACAGGAAGTAATCGAGCGTTCCCGTGCCAGCCCACCAGAGGAGCGGGCTTTCTGGTCGCGGATGGTGATGGCGCAGCCGACACCAGATATTTTTCCTCTTTCCTCGACGACGACGGACTTGTTCTTCCAGGACGGCGACGGCAATCCATTTTCTTTACAGGAGTTTGCGGAGAGCAGTGCCAAATGCGATGTGGTCGTCGATGGGTCGGCTTCCCAATGCACCATGACAGACCTGAAGAGGGCCAGTTTTGCGGCGGTGTTGTTGGAGCCAGGACCCGAATACAAGGCTCGGACTAGAATGATGGCCCCAGTTTGGCCCTATGTGCTCCAGACCCCGCAGGCGGCGGAGTATATAGGCCTGGCCACCGTTGTCTGTTCACGTCTGGGCTGAATACCCCATACAGTGATTGCAAGGGGGGCGCCCGCCTGCACAATGCCTCGGACCAGGCCCAGTTGGGGCCCACGCAGATGTTTGCGGGGGTGCGCAGAGCAGCAAAGCAAGCTGCAGGATACTCCTCGGCAGGTCAGGCGTGGTACACGCCCGCCCACAGCCCGGAAAAGGTAATATTTGCGTTCCTCCAGCTGAGAAGCGAATCGCGCTAGGCAATCAGGATGCCGATCGCCTCGCCAAGCACGCCCTTTCCCTCCACCCTCAGGCTGCACCTGCCGATCCTGACAGGCTGGATAGTCAGGTGCAGCTCCTCGGATCGTGTGCCCGAGTGTTTGGGGTTGTTTTGTCTTTTTTTCCGAAGCTTGATTTCCAGCGTGCGCCCAAGGCTGCCCGAGTTCCGCGGGTGAAGCCACCGCCAGACTGGCATGATGGGAGCAGCTGGAGTCAGGCACCCGCTTTCGGTGCAGATCCTGTTTTAGGGTTGTGTTCGAAGTCGGGCGACAGACCCATGAATGGTTGTGGTGGGTCCCCGACGGCCCTGCGGCGCCTTGTGGGTGTTGAGTCGGCCCGTGGTCACAAACTGGGCTTTGCCGACTTGAACCGATCAGGAAAACATTGTTTTCTTGCACCCGCTGCGGTGCATACACGAGTCACTGCTGCCACCTCTTGGGCCAACAGTGTTCCAAGGTTCGGGGGCCGTTTGGTGAGAGTGCCCTCGATCGCATCGCTCGTGGACTTCATCCTCGCTACAGGATGAATTCGGAGGGTGACAACTCGGTGTCGCGAGCGCTGCCCAAGGCAGTGCTCCTTTCTGCCCCACCGCCGTGCTCGGCTGGCACTGCACGGCTGATTGGCAATGATCGCTTCCGTGCGCTGGTTGAGAGGATTCGGGCGAAGGAGGCAGCTCACGACGCAGTCTAGTCGTGGATGCAGCTGAACGTTCTGCCCCCCAGGTCGTCGCGTCCTCCTCCTCCTCCTCCTCGTCCACCTCCTCCTCCTCCTCCTCCTCCTCCTCCTCCTCCCTCCGTCCGCCTCCTCGTCTTCCCGTGGATCCCCTGGAGACCCCTGTCAGACGGGCTGGCGGCAAGGGGGCCAACTCTTTCGGGGAGCACGCGCCTTGGTGCGGACGCCACACGGCGGCCCCGGGCCGCCGCATGATCTCGGCGTCACCCCAACATCGTTATATTATATGTTCGTCGCCCCCCCCCCCCGCACCGAAAAATCTTATAGCATATGTGTCGCCGCGGGCGCTTTGTGGCCACACTGTTCGGGGAAGGATCTGCTACAAGATGGGAATTCTATGTGTTCGGGTCGGACGCGCGCCTCCAAGGAGAACACAGTGCTAGTGTGTGCCTGTGCGTCCCATGCTATGCCTGGCGAGAAGTCGGCAGCAAAGCGCTGGCCTGGCCTGCGCTGGCCAAGCTGCCATGCGCTCGACGCTGCTACCCTTACGTCGGGCCTGTTCCTCTACAGGAGGAATTTGCAATAATACTTTAAAAATAGTCCGGGGGCGATTGCCTGATCATTTCTGTTTTTTTTTCTGATCATGTTTTGAATATCTTTTATTTGTCATCCAAAATCCGCCTGTAGCGGGACGGACCCGACCCAATGTTACCCAACGCGGCCACACGTCACGCCCACCCCGGGAGGAGTAGCACAGCGCAGGGGGGGGGGCAGGGGCGGAGCGGAGTCCCCGCTCGCATTAGGTCGGGCTTGTCCCCCTACAGGCGGATTTGGTACGAAAAATAAAGCATATTCAAAAAATGCTTCAAAATAGTCAAGAATAATCAGAAATCGTCCGCATATCATTCTTTACTATTTTGAACATTCCACCTGTAGAGGGAAGCGCCCGACTTCACGCTCGCCCGCGCGAGTCGAGCTCCTTCTCTGAAGTGCGTCCACCGCCCCGGCCCCGCGAGGCGCTTGACCTGCGGGCGGCGGCCCCGGACAGCCGCGTCGTGGTGCTCTACCTCTACACCGACCGCGCGGGGCTCTCGAGGGGGCGGAAGGGTGGGAGTTCGGGAGCGGCCAAGAGGGGGGTGATGACAATGGGGGGTGGATATCATGGCGGGGGCCATGATATCTCCCCAGATTTTTTGGCGCCTCGTCTTATTTCATTACGTCCCTGGCTCCCCCCGTTGGGCCGCGCACATGCCGCCGGCCATGATTTGCAGCCCCCCCCCTTTGACGCCCCCCTCTTGGCCGCTCCCGAGGAGCTCCCGAGGGTCGGTATCTTTCAACCGATCCCCATCACCATCCCCACTTCGAGACCCCCGCCAAATCACCACCCCAGTTGGGGATACACCCCTCGAAACCCGAAGGAAACGACCTATATCCCCATCTAAGGGGGCCAATCTGCCAGTGGGGCCCAGGCCACGCCGCTGGGGATGGGGATCGGTCAAAACGATACTCAGAGGGGGCGGAAGGGTGGGAGTACAGGTGGTCGACCCAGACGCTGGTTCGGCAATCCCGTGGGTAGGTTCTGTTTGCTCTGCGTTTGCGTTTCGCTTTCGCTCTGGGCCCACCGTTGGCCAATCACGAGTCCAGATGTTTCCGCCCAGGCGATGTTTTGGGCCATCGGACGGACCGTCTTTAGTTTCAACACGCTGCAAGGCGAGCACGAATCAACAACAACTCTCTTTTGGTCGACCCCTGGCGGAGAACAACTGGAGAGTACGCCAACTATTCACCTGTGCTGTGATCTCGTCCATGGGTCGGTGCAGGTGCATCGTCAGCACCATCCCACAGCTCGAGAATGAGATTCGGAGGATCGCGTGCCTCGCCTGTTTTCGTGCAGGCAACCCGCATAGCAAGCATGAGCATCTGTCCAAGGTTACCCTTGCGTCCTTCCCCTTCTGCACATCCGTGGCCGCTTTCGCTGGCCGCGCCCCGCTCGCAAAGTGTCGACATGAGCTTCCAAGGCCCTTGCATCCTTATCGCGCGTCCGTATTATACGGGTTGACTGCATAACTTGAGGAGGAGATTCGGAGGATCGCATTTCTCGTTTGTGTTCGTAGTCCTGAAGCCGCTTTCGGGCCCCCAGGGCCGTCTGAAATCGACCAGGGGCGATAAACTTGCCAGGATGGACTCAGGAGGGATCTGGGGATCGGCTGTGAGCGGATCTTGGTCGGGACCCCTTGCGTCGAGCTGGAGGGTATCTTGAACCATCTTAGAGGGTATCTTCTTTAGTATCTGGGAGGCCGCGGTGGGTGAATTTAGAGTCTCCGAGTGCCAGGGACGTGCGCCGGAGAGCTCGTACCCCCCCTCCACCTCCCCCTTTCCACACCTCTGACGGGACCGTAGACGCGCTAACGGTGTGTCAGCTGACGGCGAAGTAGGACAACCAATTATAGGAAGGCGTGGCCCGTGGCCAAACTATTTGTAGGAACGCGTGGTTCGTGTTTCCCCAACAACTCGCTGTGTCGTTTTCGTTCGATGCATTTGCATATTTGAAGTGTAGGAAAGTGTGCTTCGTGATTTTCTACAATTTGTTTTGTGCGAGCTCGGTGTCACGAAAGCCAGATTCCCAACATCGCGGTTGACCAAGCACGCCGTTAGTGCGGCCCTTGCGGGATTTTGTACCCCACGGGGCAGCGACAGCCAAATATCTCACACGCTTTCTCACCCCCCCTGCCAGCAGGGCTCGGCGGATTGTGTGTGTTCTATCTATTGCATTCGCCGTCCGACTGCACGCCGGCTTAAGCCGTCGGGCTCGTCAAGCCTGCCTGCCACGCGAGATCGGCAGAGCAGGCCCTTTGTCTCTGAAGGCAGCGATTAATGCTGCTTCGCTGGCCTTGGCATCGCTCGGACGTGTGCATTTTTCCTTCGGCGAGGACCATCGAGGAGCATGCTTGATCATTTGGCGAAAAAACCACGCACGAAGCCGAAAAAAGCACAGGGAATGGACGTCCGAGCGATGGCCAGTGGGCAGTTACGCCAATGTGTGTCTTTTTACCTAACAGCTTTTGCTGATACGTTTCTAGTGGGATCAAAAAAGACATCTTGACGCCCCAGGGGGGTCTGGGCGGGATCCGGACAGATCCGGACAAGGAACCGGACAAAAGGGTCAGCCCCAAGAATCCTTAGGAATCCTTAGGAATTCTGAGAAATCCTTAGGAATCCATTCCCAGAACACCATTCCCAGGCTTCATTTTGAATGCCCGGAGCCAGCTCTAGGCCACTTCGTGTCCTTCGTGTTCCCAGAACACCATTCCCAGGCCATATTTTGAATGCCCAGAGCCAACTGTAGGCCACTTCGTGTTCTTCGCGTTCCCAGAGCACCGTTCCCAGGCCACATTTTGAATGCCCGGAGCCAACTGTGGGCCACGTCGTGTTCTTCGTGTTCCCAGAACACAATTCCCAGGCCACATTTTGAATGCCCGGAGCCAACTGTAGGCCACTTCGTGTTCTTCGTCTTCCCAGAACACCACTCCTGTACCATATTTTGATTGCCCTGGAGCCAACTGTGGGCCACTTCGTGTTCTTCGTGTTCCCAGAACACCACTCCTGTACCATATTTTGATTGCCCTGGAGCCAACTGTGGGCCACTTCGTGATCTTCGTGTTCCCAGAACACAAGTCCTGTGCCATATATTGTATGCCCGAGCTGAGGCAGGCTGAGGCCGAGGCAGGCTGAGGCCGAGGCAGGCTGAGGCTGAGGCTGAGGCAGGCTGAGGCTGAGGCAGGCTGAGGCTGAGGCTGAGGCAGGCTGAGGCTGAGGCTGAGGCTGAGGCTGAGGCTGAGGCTGAGCAGGCTGAGGCTGAGGCTGAGGCCGAGGCTGAGGCTGAGGCTGAGGCTGAGGCTGCAGGCTGAGGAGGCTGAGGCTGGGCAGGCTGAGGCTGCAGGCTGAGGCTGAGGCTGAGGCAGGCTGAGGAGGCTGAGGCAGGCTGAGGCTGAGGCTGAGGCAGGCTGGGGCTGAGGCTGAGGCCGAGGCAGGCTGAGGCTGAGGCCGAGGCAAGCCGAGGCAAGCTGAGGCTGAGGCTGAGGCTGAGGCTGAGGCCAAGGCACGCTGAGGCTGAGACAGGCTGAGGCTGAGGCTGAGGCAGGCTGAGGCTGATGTAGGCTGAGGCTGAGGCTGAGGCAGGCTCAGGCCGAGACAGGCTGAGACTGAGGCTGAGGCTGAGGATGAGGCCGAGGCAGGCCGAAGCTGAGACAAGGTGAGGCTGAATGGGGGGGGGGGGAAGGGGGAGGGGGGAGGAGGGGAGGCTGAGGCAGGCTGAGGCCGAGGCAGGCTGAGGCCGAGGCAGGCTGAGGCCGAGGCAGGCTGAGGCTGAGGCTGAGGCAAGCCGAGGCAGGCTGAGGCTGAGGCTGAGGCCGATGCAGGCTGAGGCTGAGATGCTGACGCTGAGGCTGAGGCAGGCTGAGGCTGAGGCTGAGGCTGAAGCTGGGGCAGGCTGAGGCTGAGGCTGAGGCTGAGGCTGAGATGCTGAGGCTGAGGCTGAGGCAAGCTGCGGCTGAGGCAGGCTGAGGCTGAGGCTGAGGCAGGCTGAGGCTGAGGCTGAGGCAGGCTGAGGCTGAGGCAGGCTGAGGCTGAGGCCGAGGCAGGCTGAGGCTGAGGTTGAAGCAAGCCGAGGCAGGCTGAGGCTGAGGCTGAAACTGAGGCAGGCTGAGACATCCGTAGGAATCCTTAGGAATCCCTAGGAATCCTTAGCAATCCGTAGACATCCTTAGGAATCCGTAGGCATAGTTAAGCATCCTCAGGAATTCTTAGGAATCCCCAGGAATCCCTAGGAATCAGGATTCCTAAGGATTCCTACGGATTCCTAAGGATGCCGAAGGATGCCTTAGGAATCCCTGGGGTTCCTTAGGATTCCACTGGATCCTAAGGCCGTTGCCACTGCGATTGTCATTGCGAATACGACCGCGACTGCGAGAACAACATAATTCTACAACTGGATTATCACCTGAATCTTAATGGGGAATGCTTCCAGATATGCTTATACACATCGCTGTTAGGTTGCTTTGCCGGGATAATCCAGTCGGTTAGCCGAGAGGTGATTTTTAGACTTGGTTGTGACCTGTGCGTCAGCACTGCGCGAGAGCAAGGCTACAGAAGTGTCTCGGGATGCGGCCAGTTTTGTCGTGGCCCTTTTGCAGTCTTGTATGGTCCGCCCTCGGGTCCCGAGATTGTGGATTCTTGTATTGGACCTGATCTGTCGTGTGGGGAAAATTGTGTGTGTGTGTGTGTGTGTGTGTGTGTGTGTGTGTGTGTGTGTGTGTGTGTGTGTGTGTGTGTGTGTGTGTGTGTGTGCGCGCGCTCCGTTTTATGATGCTACGTATGCAGGCTTGTGTTTCGAGTTGGGATGGCCAGCCTGGATGTCACACTGCCACTCGAAACATTGGTTCAGAAGCTCGTTGTGCCTCCACTACCCTTGCCAAATGACAGCTCTGGATCGTCGATTGATGAATTGGTCTCAGGGCGCCAGTCTACGCTTGGCTTACACGACGACTGAAACAATATTACCTTGTCACAGAGTTCCTCTTGTACCCAGCAGGGGGCTCATTGTGGTCTCGGTTTCTCGTCGTGTGCGTGCGTCGACCGCCCCGACGATCGCAATGTCATCCAGGCGATGTACCCGCCCGCATGTTCTGAAGCAGAACCCAGCTCACCGAGATTGCATGGTGGTCGTGGCAGCCGATCTCAAGACAATGTTTCGAATATCCATGGCCATTTGGTTTCAAGGCATCTGGCTCCAGCTCTCGATCCCCAGAGGTGTGCGCCCCCCCCCCGGCCGCAAACAGCGAGCTCCGAGGCGGCCCGCCTCTTGCAGACGCCATGCTGTCCAGGCAGGCGTGCACCCCCGCTTTCGTGCTCCCGCGGAGCTTCGGCCCCTGCACCGCGGCCGAGAGGAGTATCGAGTGGCAGCGGGACCCAGTCGGGATGCCGCTCCCGCCCCACGAGGAGGAGATCCCGTGGCCCGCACGCCTGGCACAGGTTGGCGCTTGGCGCGAGGCAGGGGTCCCGCTTGGCGCCTGGCGCGAGCAGGGGATC